TGTTTGGGGCAATGGTGGTGGTGAGTAGTTTGTTTGGGTCAATGGTGGTGGTGAGTAGTTTGGGAAAATGGTGGTGGTGAGTAGTTTGTTTGGGAAAATGGTGGTGGTGAGTAGTTTGTTTGGGACACTGGTGGTGGTGAATAGTTTGTGAAATGTATGTGCTAGATGAATATGGTTAAATGAATTCAAGGATTCTATTTTCTATAGCTATGGTATTCCTGCAAACGCATTCTGTGATAAATATGAACTACTGGCCATTCGTGAATGTATCCCATGGTCACCAGGCAAAATTGTTTTTTTTCAGACTGAATGGCCTCTGGAGTCCTTCCCCCCGAGATGTGCAGTTCACCAATAACCTTCGTCTCGCATGCAAGAGAGGTCGACGGCGCAGCTTCCCAGGGGGCTTCTACACAAATCTAAAAGCCTTCTGGAAACTACTGCACAAACCCTCCTCCATAAACATATCCAAAGACTTCAAACCTTCTACTGAATGTTATTTGCCAAACTCCGTCATGTTTATTAAATGTTACTATTTCCCCTGTCCTGTTCTAATGTTAGTTTTTAAATAGCATTTAAGGTGTAAAATAATGTAGTCTTTAATTAGGTCAATGACTTACGTCTAAATTGACACGGTGGCCTCCCAGTTAGTGTGAACTTGCAAAATATATACTAGCGTTAAGGTCGGTGGCTCCCAGTAAGTGTGTTGATCCCGTAGTTAGCATGTAAAGAAAGTAAAATAAGGCAGTTTCGGAATATCAGTCTACTAAAATTATGTATTTACAGCATGTATGTAATTGGGTCCCATGTGTCTTTATGCGTGGTGACGGTGGGCGAGTGCGCGTTTTGTGCTAGTCTAATATTGTAACTACCTCAGGTATTATGCTTAAGTTAGGATTAAACTACTTCCTTTGTAATTACGCGTGTATGTATGCACAACAGTATAAGCATGTGTACAGAGATGAAGTCAAACACCACCCCGAGGAACACTAAAACGTTTTAGTATTCCGATATTCATTTGTGTACAATGTACTTTGTACGTACATACATACAGACATACATAGAACTATACATTTCTATGTGCGTATGCATTTGTGTATATACAAGTATTTTTATATGTATGAACATGAAATGGCATATGTACGTTTATACATATGAATGCCCGTTTCCTTTTCATGTATGCTTCTCTCTTGTAATGCAATTGTGTTTAGCTTATAAGTCTTCCTATGCTAGAATCCAAATTGGTGCTACTGTTTAAGTTCTATAAGCTGTATTTTTCTGTAATAAATACAAGTTTGATATACGGTATTTTTATATCATCGTCACAATCTCGGTTATTTCGTGATTCCTTATTCGAATAACTGTAAAACGATCTCATTATGCTATACTCACTAATTAAAAAAAAAGTCATTGTTCATGATTAGCAAGACAGACTTACTGAAATGAATCGGCGGCACGGCTGTATTTGATATGTAGCAACATGATATATTTATTTACTTATTAATGAGATAATGATCATACTAAAGATAATGAAATAATGATCATACTAAAGATAATGAAATAATGATCATACTAAAGATAATGAAATAATGATCATACTAAAGATAATGAAATAATGATAATTATATGATCATGATAATGATGATCATGATAATTATATGATCATGATAATGATGATCATGATAATTATATGATCATGATAATGATGATAATGATGATCATGATAATGATGATCATGATAATGATGATCATGATAATGATGATCATGATAATGATGATCATGATAATGATGATCATGATAATGATGATCATGATAATGATGATCATGATAATGATCATGATAATGATGATCATGATAATGATGATCATGATAATGATGATCATGATAATGATGATCATGATAATGATGATCATGATAATGATGATCATGATAATGATGATCATGATAATGATGATCATGATAATGATGATCATGATAATGATGATCATGATAATGATGATCATGATAATGATGATCATGATAATGATGATCATGATAATGATGATCATGATAATGATGATCATGATAATGATGATCATGATAATGATGATCATGATAATGATGATCATGATAATGATGATCATGATAATGATGATCATGATAATGATGATCATGATAATGATGATCATGATAATGATGATCATGATAATGATGATCATGATAATGATGATCATGATAATGATGATCATGATAATGATGATCATGATAATGATGATCATGATAATGATGATCATGATAATGATGATCATGATAATGATGATCATGATAATGATGATCATGATAATGATGATCATGATAATGATGATCATGATAATGATGATCATGATAATGATGATCATGATAATGATGATCATGAAAATGATGATCATGAAAATGATGATCATGAAAATGATGATCATGAAAATGATGATCATGAAAATGATCATGATAATGATGATCATAATGATCATGATAATGATGATC